TTGCTTCAAACTCGTAAACTACTGGCCGAATCTGGCTGGAAACTGACCTTTCTGGTGAATCCGCACGCTGAATCCGAAAATGAACTCAGAATGGACCTGGGACCTATATTTAATCAAAATTCCCGAAAATTTTTTATTTTTAACAATTTGTATTATTATTTCGGGGTCTTGAGGCCTATTTTGACTAAAATTTGATATTTAATACTAAAATCTATACTGAATCCAAATATGGTTTCAGAATTGAGCTAGGTCCAATATTTCATAAAAATTTCGGAACAAAAATTTTGAACCAAATATCCCACGAAATTTCATTTCTCATCATGATTTTTCTAAATTTAGAGGTTCTTGTCTTGGCTGGCAAATATTTGTCAATAGTCAAGACAAGAACCCTTACATGTAGAGGAAATTTTGTAAAATTATGATATAAAATGAAATTTCGTGGGAAAATCGGTCTGATTTAGTTTTTCCGAAATTTTTATGAAATATTGGTCTCAGGTCCACTCTATGTTCATTTTCGGATTCATCATAGGTACTAATCGTGAATGTCAAATTTTTACAGCCCTAGACCTCAAGACCCCCATATAATACCACAAATTGTTAAAAACAAAAAAATTTCGGGAATTTTGATGAAATATTGGTCCCAGGTCCAATCTGAGTCCATTTTCGGATTCAGCGTGCGAATTCACCAGAAAGGTCAGTTTCCAGCCACTTTCGACCTGTAGTTTACGAGTTTGAAGCAAAAAAAAAAAAATTTTGATGATTGATGGACCCAGCCTAAACGATATCAAAATTTAAAATTTATTTTTTTGTTTGCTTCAAACTCGTAAACTACTGGCCAAATCTGGCTGGAAACTCACCTTTCTGGTGAATCCGCACGCTGAATCCGAAAATGAACTCAGAATGGACCTGGGACCTATATTTCATCAAAATTCCCGAAAATTTTTTATTTTGTACAATTTGTACTATTATTTCGGGATCTTGAGGCCGAGGTTGACTAAAATTTGATATTTAATACTAAAATCTATACTGAATCCGAAAATGGTTTCAGAATTGAGCTAGGTCCAATATTTCATAAAAATTTCGGAACAAAAATTTTGAATCAAATATCCCACGAAATTTCATTTCTCATCATGATTTTTCTAAATTTAGAGGTTCTTGTCTTGGCTGGCAAATATTTGTCAATAGTCAAGACAAGAACCCTTATATGTAGAGGAAATTTTGTAAAATTATGATATAAAATGAAATTTCGTGGGAAAATCGGTCTGATTTAGTTTTTCCGAAATTTTTATGAAATATTGGTCTCAGGTCCACTCTATGTTCATTTTCGGATTCATCATAGGTACTAATCGTGAATGTGAAATTTTTACAGCCCTAGACCTCAAGACCCCCATATAATACCACAAATTGTTAAAAACAAAATATTTCCCGGAATTTTGATGAAATATTGGTCCCAGGTCCAATCTGAGTCCATTTTCGGATTCAGCGTGCGAATTCACCAGAAAGGTGAGTTTCCAGCCACTTTCGGCCAGTAGTTTACGAGTTTGAAGCAAAAATAAAAAAAATTTTGAAATTTTGATGATAGTTGGACCGAGGACCAATACTGCATCAAAATTTAAAATTTATTTTTTTGCTTGCTTCAAACTCGTAAACTACTGGCTGAATCGGGCTGGAAACTCACCTTTCTGGTGAATCCGCACGCTGAATCCGAAAATGAACTCAGAATGGACCTGGGACCTATATTTCATCAAAATTCCCGAAAATTTTTTATTTTTAACAATTTGTATTATTATTTCGGGATCTTGAGGCCTAGGTTGACTAAAATTTGATATTTAATACTAAAATCTATACTGAATCCAAATATGGTTTCAGAATTGAGCTAGGTCCAATATTTCATAAAAATTTCAGAACAAAAATTTTGAACCAAATATCCCACGAAATTTCATTTCTCATCATGATTTTTCTAAATTTAGAGGTTCTTGTCTTGGCTGGCAAATATTTGTCAATAGTCAAGACAAGAACCCTCACATGCAGAGGAAATTTTGTAAAATTATGATATAAAATGAAATTTCGTGGGAAAATCGGTCTGATTTAGTTTTTCCGAAATTTTTATGAAATATTGGTCTCAGGTCCACTCGACGTTCATTTTCGGATTCATCATATGTACTAATCGTGAATGTCAAATTTTTACAGCCCTAGACCTCAAGACCCCCATATAATACCACAAATTGTTAAAAACAAAAAATTTCCCGGAATTTTGATGAAATATTGGTCCCAGGTCCAATCTGAGTCCATTTTCGGATTCAGCGTGCGAATTCACCAGAAAGGTGAGTTTCCAGCCACTTTCGACCAGTAGTTTACGAGTTTGAAGCAAAAATAAAAAAAATTTTGAAATTTTGATGATAGTTGGACCGAGGACCAATACTGCATCAAAATTTAAAATTTATTTTTTTGCTTGCTTCAAACTCGTAAACTACTGGCTGAATCGGGCTGGAAACTCACCTTTCTGGTGAATCCGCACGCTGAATCCGAAAATGAACTCAGAATGGACCTGGGACCTATATTTCATCAAAATTCCCGAAAATTTTTTATTTTTAACAATTTGTATTATTATTTCGGGATCTTGAATGCTAGGTTGACTAAAATTTGATATTTAATACTAAAATCTATACTGAATCCGAAAATGGTTTCAGAATTGAGCTAGGTCCAATACTTCATAAAAATTTCGGAACAAAAATTTTGAACCAAATATCCCACGAAATTTAATTTCTCATCATGATTTTTCTAAATTTAGAGGTTGTTGCCTTGGCTGCCAAATGTTTTCAATAGTCTAGACAAGAACCCTTACATGTAGAGGAAATTTTGTAAAATTATGATATAAAATGAAATTTCGTGGGAAAATCGGTCTGATTTAGTTTTTCCGAAATTTTTATGAAATATTGGTCTCAGGTCCACTTTATGTTCATTTTCGGATTCATCATAGGTACTAATCGTGAATGTCAAATTTTTACAGCCCTAGACCTCAAGACCCCCATATAATACCACAAATTGTTAAAAACAAAATATTTCCCGGAATTTTGATGAAATATTGGTCCCAGGTCCAATCTGAGTCCATTTTCGGATTCAGCGTGCGAATTCACCAGAAAGGTGAGTTTCCAGCCACTTTCGACCAGTAGTTTACGAGTTTGAAGCAAAAAAAAAAAAATTTTGAAATTTTGATGAAAGGTGGACCTAGGACCCTTACTATAACAAAATTTCAAATTTATTTTTTTGTTTGCTTCAAACTCGTAAACTACTGGCTGAATCGGGCTGGAAACTCACCTTTCTGGTGAATCCGCACGCTGAATCCGAAAATGAACTCAGAATGGACCTGGGACCTATATTTCATCAAAATTCCCGAAAATTTTTTATTTTTAACAATTTGTATTATTATTTCGGGATCTTGAGGCCTATTTTGACTAAAATTTGATATTTAATACTAAAATCTATACTGAATCCAAAAATGGTTTCAGAATTGAGCTAGGTCCAATATTTCATAAAAATTTCGGAACAAACATTTTGAACCAAATATCCCACGAAATTTCATTTCTCATCATGATTTTTCTAAATTTAGAGGTTCTTGTCTTGGCTACAAAATGTTGACAATAGTCAAGACAAGAACCCTTACATGTAGAGGAAATTTTGCAAAATTATGTTATAAAATGAAATTTCGTGGGTAATTAGGTCTGAATTACGTGATCGAAAGTTTCTAAAAACTGACCTTTTTGGTAACCAATGAAGCTTAGAAACCTGTTTAAGCCTAACATAACCTTTCAACTTACCTCTGAATGTTCATTTTCTGTAGGAATCAAACTCTTTGTTTTCTGATATTTAATAAAATTATTCAATAATTTTGCTTTATTTAATATTTAAACTTAATACTAATACATTTGTAATTAATATTAACAATAACATTATATTTATAGTTTTATTTAATTAATTAAAATAAAATCCTAGTAAATAATAAAAAAAATACATAAAAATTCTTATCTTAAATATATAAATTTTAATAACATTTTAAGGTTTTATATTATATTAAGGGTTTTATATTAAAGATAAATTTAATTATTTAATTATAATAAGTTATAAACTAATTTTATATATAAAATATTACACATGTTCGGTTTTTTTGATTTATTGTTTGTTTTTGTTTTTATTTCTTATAAAAATCTAACAATTTTATTAAAATTTTTAATAAAAGTTTTTTTATTAAGATTGATATTCTAAATACTAATAATAAATAAGATCTGTTTTTGTGCTTTGCTTAACTTTTTTTAAACATTTACTAATAATTATACAATTGTTTATAATAAAAGGCGGTATTTAACAAATGTTTAAAGAGTTAACAAGGATTTATAAAAGAAAAATGTTTTTAAAACTTTTGCATAAAAGGATTTCAGCATTTTCTGCTAGATTTTGCATTTAGTTGCAACAAATTGCATTTATTTGCAACAATTTGCATTTAGTTGCAACAATTTGTATTTAGTTGCAATAATTTGCATTTAGTTGCAACAATTTGTATTTAGTTGCAACAATTTGCATTTAGTTGCAACAATTTGCAAAAAGTTGCATTTAGTTGCAAAACTTTTTTAACATTTTTTTAGCTCATTTGCCTGCAGAAAATGTTTCCAACTAGAAATTTTCATAGTTGCAACATTTTGCATTTAGTTGCAAAAGTTTGCATTCAGTTGCAACATTTCTTTAGCATTTTGACCTCATTTGCATGCAGTAAATGTTGCCAACTAGTAATTTTCTTAGTTGCAGTTTCGTATGTTGCTCTCTGTTAACTTTAAACATTTGTTTCTTTAAATAAAGCCTTGAATTTTTAAAGTATCCTTTCTTTTACAAAATATTGCGATAATTTATAAAAAAAATCAAATATTTTTTTAATTAAATAATTGGTCGTTGGTCTGTTTTTTTAACATTTTGAAACATTAAATACATTTGCCATTTAGTTTATGTGTTAAAAATTAGATCTTTCTGTTTAAAGGACGGATTTAAATACTTTTTTTAAACGTTTTTTTTTTTTTTAAATTTAATGCTGTTTTTTTACTAAAATCTGTGATGTTAAATTTGTGAAGCCTTTGCAAAAGAAAACTTTTACTAATTGGAAGACAACTTATAAAAAAAAAAACCTAAAAAAAAGAACAAAATACTTTACACATTATGCCTTAATTAAGGAAAAGTTCAAAATTTTCCTTTTCCTATTTTTTAGAAAACAAGTGAAGAGCTTCATCTGTACACAGTCTTTGTTTTTCTTTTCTGAAATCAAAATTAAGATTTCCCTTTCCTCTAAACTTCTGTGCTGTGTGTTTGTATGCGCACTTTCTTAACACTACCATTACGTCGCATGGGTGGTGAGTTACCTGACCCTGAGTAGCCGGGATTTTGTATACCCAAGGCGTTTTCTGGTCTTGGTCTAGGTTTCTTTAAACTAGATCTTAAAGGTGAGCGTGTAACAGATTCTACTGTCGATCCATTCGAAACACTAGTGACCATGGTACTCATAGAGGCCACACTGCCCGAGCCATTGCGTATGCCAGCATATGGTTTGCCCGAGGCATCGGTCACAGAAATACCTTTAGAAAACAAGAGGTAAACTTTTATAAAATAATTTTTTAACAAAAAATTTCACTTTTTTTTCTTACCATTTTTAGTTCTGGGTTCTTTAAAGCCTGGATTATTTATCGTTGTAGCTGATGATGGTGAGGCAGCATCTATCATCATGGTGGGATCACCACCAGGCTTCTTGGAATATAAAACATCGTATAAAGCCAATACGAATAAAGGTATACTTAAGATAATAACAACAATCTGAAATAAAGATACAGATAAACCAAAATTTTTAAGTCTTATTCTTCAGTTCAAGATCAGTTCTGGAACAATTCCTCTCCAGTTTTAGTTTAATTCTCTTAAAGTTTCTAATTCTCTTCTAATTATGTTCTAGTTCAGTTATAGCTCTGCTCTAATTCTGTTCTTGTTCTATTCTAGTTCTTTTCTGTTCTAGTTCAGTTTTAGTTCTGTTCTAGTTGTGTTCTAGTTGTGTTCTAGTTGTGTTCTAGTTCTGTTCTAGTTGTGTTCTAGTTCTGTTCTAGTTCTGTTCTAGTTCTGTTCTAGTTCTGTTCTAGTTCTGTTCTAGTTCTGTTCTAGTTCTGTTCTAGTTCTGTTCTAGTTCTGTTCTAGTTCTGTTCTAGTTCTGTTCTAGTTCTGTTCTAGTTCTAGTTCTGTTCTAGTTCTGTTCTAGTTCTGTTCTGTTCTAGTTCTGTTCTAGTTGTCTAGTTCTGTTCTAGTTCTGTTCTAGTTCTGTTCTAGTTCTGTTCTAGTTCTGTTCTAGTTCTGTTCTAGTTCTAGTTGTTCTAGTTGTGTTCTAGTTGTCTAGTGTTCTAGTTGTGTTCTAGTTGTGTTCTAGTTGTGTTCTAGTTGTGTTCTAGTTGTGTTCTAGTTGTGTTCTAGTTGTGTTCTAGTTGTGTTCTAGTTGTGTTCTAGTTGTGTTCTAGTTGTGTTCTAGTTGTGTTTAGTTGTTTCTAGTTGTGTTCTAGTTGCGTTCTAGTTCTGTTCTAGTTCTGTTCTAGTTCTGTTCTAGTTCTGTTCTAGTTCTGTTCTAGTTCTGTTCTAGTTCTGTTCTAGTTCTGTTTAGTTCTGTTCTAGTTCTGTTCTAGTTCTGTTCTAGTTTCTGTTCTAGTTCTGTTCTAGTTCTGTTCTACTTCTGTTCTAGTTATGATCTAGTTATGATCTAGTTCTGTTCAGTTCTAGTTCTGTTCTAGTTCTGTTCTGTTCTGTTCTAGTTCTGTTAGTCTGTTAGTTCTGTTCTAGTTCTGTTCTAGTTCTGTTCTATTCTGTCTAGTTCTGTTCTAGTTCTGTTCTAGTTCTGTTCTAGTTCTGTTCTAGTTCTGTTCTAGTTCTGTTCTAGTTCTGTTCTAGTTCTTTCTAGTTCTGGTCTAGTTCTGTTCTAGTTCTGTTCTATTCTGTTCTAGTTCTGTTCTAGTTCTGTTCGAGTTCTGTTTCTAGTTCTGTTCTAGTTCTGTTCTAGTTCTGTTCTAGTTCTGTTCTAGTTCTGTTCTAGTTCTGTTCTAGTTCTGTTCTAGTTCTGTGTCTAGTTCTGTTCTAGTTCTTCTATTCTGTTCTAGTTCTGTTCTAGTTCTGTCTAGTTCTGTTCTAGTTCTAGTCTTAGTTCTTGTTCTAGTTCTGTTCTAGTTCTGTTCTAGTTCTGTCTAGTTCTGTTCTAGTTCTGTTCTAGTTCTGTTCTAGTTCTGTTCATAGTTCTGTTCTAGTTCTGTTCTAGTTCTGTTCTAGTTCTGTTCTAGTTCTGTTCTAAGTTCTGTTCTAGTTCGTTCTAGTTCTGTTCTAGTTCTGTCTAGTTCTGTTCTAGTTCTGTCTAGTTCTGTTCTAGTTCTGTTCTAAGTTCTGTTGTCTAGTTCTGTTCAGTTCTAGTTCTGTTCTAGTTCTGTTCTAGTTCTGTTCTAGTTATGATCTAGTTCTGTTCAGTTCTAGTTCTCTTCTAGTTCTGTTCTAGTTCTGTTCTAGTTCTGTTCTAGTTTTGCTCTAGTTCTGTTCTAGTTCTGTTCTAGTTCTAGTTCTGTTCTAGTTCTGTTCTAGTTCTGTTCTAGTTCTGTTCTAGTTTGCTCTAGTTCTGTTCTAGTTCTGTTCTAGTTCTAGTTCTGTTCTAGTTCTGTTCTGTTCTAGTTCTAGTTCTGTTCTAGTTCTGTTCTAGTTCTGTTCTAGTTCTGTTCTAGTTCTGTTCTAGTTCTGTTCTAGTTCTGTTCTAGTTCTGTTCTAGTTCTGTTCTAGTTTTGTTCTAGTTCTGTTCTAGTTCTGTTCTAGTTTTGTACTAGTTCTATTCTAGTTCTATTCTAGTTCTGTTCTAGTTCTGTTCTAGTTCTGTTCTGGTTCTGTTCTAGTTCTGTTCTAGTTCTGTTCTAGATCTGTTCTAGTTCTGTTCTAGTTCTACTTTAGGTCTGTTCTGCTCTAGTTCAGCTCAGTAATTTAATTACCTGTAAATAAAACGATATTCCTCGTGATACACGGAAACCATATTTTTCAGATTCATCGATTTGTACAGCAAACATAACAGTGGCCACCAGAGCCAATATACCTACAAAAGAAAATGTTTATATTAAAAAAATTCCAAATTAAAATTTTAAGAAGTCAAATTGTAAAATGGAAAGATTGTCATTCTTACTTACCTCCTACTAAGGCTAAAACCATTTTGGTCATTACCAGCGATGTATACGACATGACCACTTTTTCTCGCGATGAAATCATGGCAATTTGTATAACGGACAAAATGCAAAATAAACCAAAGGCAGTTGAACTTAAAATGGCAAATATGCCGCTAATAAAAATGGCAGCTGAAAAGACAAATTGTAGAATAAACATTTAAAAATTTTAACATAAATCTTGTCATTGGAAAACTTACATGATAATCTAAATTTCGAAACATCACTGCCACATTTCTCCCTATTATAGGCTAACTGTTTGCAGACCTTAAAGGGACCAAAATAACCATTATCGTAGTCATAACCGCCCGAGGGTGAGCTATAATAACCCCAAATAGGTATACCAATAGCGGCCGAAGCTAAAGCAAAACATATAAAACCCAAACAAGTTACGCCAGCAGCATAAAGAGCAATTTTCGATTTGGCCATTTTTTAATGATCAGCATAGTAGTAAAACAAAGCCTCCAAAAACAAATCAGAAACTGGAAAATCTGTTTTTAATAACAGGTCCAACAGAAAACAGCAACAACTTATAATATCCAATAAAATATAACGTTAGAAAGAGATCAATAGCTAAAAAAAGAGAGAAAAAAATAAATTAATTAGTTGTTTATTTATTAAATTATAAAAAATATTGTGTGAAATATTTAATTATGTGTGTCATATTTTTATAATTTTCTTTAAATACTTAACTGTAAATTATTATTAAACCCACTTACTAACTTTTAGTCTAACCATTTTAAAATTGAATGTCAATGTCAGTGTCATTAATGACAAATGATACTTCATGTTGTTGTTGTTGTTTGTATGCTTTAGTCAGTAGTTGTGGCCGTTTAAGTGTTTCTGCTGGATTATTTCATATTTGAAATTGTTTAATTAATATGTTTGTTCTGGCGAATTAAACGAATTAAATACAGAGAAGAAAGAAATAGAGAAAAAAGTTGTAATCGTAGAAATTTTGTTGTCATCAAAATTTAGGTCAAGTGGCAATTTGTTTGCCAGACATTCAAACATACTCAATGACAATTAACTTGCTGATAGTGAAAATTGATCCAGAACTAAACTAAACTAGAACTGAACTAGAACTGAACAGGAGCCGAACTAGAACTGAACTAGAACTGAATTAGAACTGAACTAGAACTGAACTAGAACTGAACTAGAACTGAACTAGAACTGAACTAGAACTGAACTTGAACTGAACAGGAGCCGAACTAGAACTGAACTAGAACTAAACTAGAACTGAATTAGAACTGAACTAGAACTGAACTAGAACTGAACTAGAACTGAACTAGAACTGAACTAGAACTGAACTAGAACTGAACTAGAACTGAACTAGAACTGAACTAGAACTGAACTAGAACTGAACTAGAACTGAACTAGAACTGAACTAGAACTGAACTAGAACTGAACTAGAACTGAACTAGAACTGAACTAGAACTGAACTAGAACTGAACTAGAACTGAACTAGAACTGAACTAGAACTGAACTAGAACTGAACTAGAACTGAACTAGAACTGAACTAGAACTGAACTAGAACTGAACTAGAACTGAACTAGAACTGAACTAGAACTGAACTAGAACTGAACTAGAACTGAACTAGAACTGAACTAGAACTGAACTAGAACTGAACTAGAACTGAACTAGAACTGAACTAGAACTGAACTAGAACTGAACTAGAACTGAACTAGAACTGAACTAGAACTGAACTAGAACTGAACTAGAACTGAAATAGAACTGAACTAGAACTGAACTAGAACTGAACTAGAACTGAACTAGAACTGAACTAGAACTGAACTAGAACTGAACTAGAACTGAACTAGAACTGAACTAGAACTGAACTAGAACTGAATTAGAACTGAAATAGAACTAGAACTGAACTAGAACTGAACTAGAACTAAACTAGAACTAAACTAGAACTGAACTAGAACTGAACTAGAACTGAACTAGAACTGAACTAGAACTGAACTAGAACTGAACTAGAACTGAACTAGAACTAGAACTAGAACTGAACTAGAACTGAACTAGAACTGAACTAGAACTGAACTAGAACTGAACTAGAACTGAACTAGAACTGAACTAGAACTGAACTAGAACTGAACTAGAACTGAACTAGAACTGAACTAGAACTGAACTAGAACTGAACTAGAACTGAACTAGAACTGAACTAGAACTGAACTAGAACTGAACTAGAACTAAACTAGAACTAGAACTGAACTAGAACTGAACTAGAACTGAACTAGAACTGAACTAGAACTGAACTAGAACTGAACTAGAACTGAACTAGAACTGAACTAGAACTGAACTAGAACTGAACTAGAACTGAACTAGAACTGAACTAGAACTGAACTAGAACTGAACCAGAACTGAACTAGAACTGACCTAGAACTGAAGTGTCGCTCAAGTAGAACAAATCTAGAATTTACCCTGGATTTTTCTTTTGGCCCTCATTTTTGGAAATTATTTCGTTCAACGCTTAACGTCTCAATTGCATTAAGCCTTCGAAACAGTTTAACCCATTTTATTAAATGTTTGGTTAAACAGTTTTTGTATCTTTCTATAAAAACATCATTAAACTCTTTAACATATTAATCGACTAAAGTTCTTATCGCCACAAATTTTTTGTTCCCTCTTTCTAAACCATGTTTTCATTGTCACGATTTTTTTTTTCAAGCCACAAAAACCTCAAGAGGGGAAACAACAACTCCAATAATTTTAGTTGTTTTCTGTTCTGTTGATTGAATAAAAAGTGTTATGTGGGAGCTTTAACCAAAAACCGAATTTCCCCCTATAGATTAAAGTCTTAAAACTACAACAACTAAGTAAAACGGCTGTTTTTCTAAATGACAAAAAACGTGAGTTAAAGGTGGCATAAAAGAAAAGTTATTAACATTAATGGAAATTGTTTGGTGAAAAAAAAAAATCAAAGAATATTAAGTTATTCCTTTAACAATAACAACGACATTTTCGACATAAGAAAGACAAGACAAGTCAGAGATCTTGGCAAAAAAATAATAGCTGAAAATATTGCCCCAATATCTAAAAAAACTTAGATGATTTATTAAGTTAAGTTAAGTTAAGGCCTTAAGTTAGTAGAAGAGAACAACAACAAAAACTGCAAGCTTTTTAAGATTAATAGTTATAAAGCGAAAGCTTAAGGGGCAGTTAAAATTGTAATGGTAATCACATTAACATTATAAGGTAATGAGAGAAGTAATGGGGTCTATACAGAAATGGGAATTCTATAATAGAATTAAACCAGAACAGAGATAGAACAGAACTAAAACTGAACTAGAACTGAACTAGAACTGAACTAGAACTGAACTAGAACTGAACTAGAACTGAACTAGAACTGAACTAGAACTGAACTAGAACTGAACTAGAACTGATCTAGAACTAGAACTGACTAGAACTGAACTAGAACTGAACTAGAACTGAACTAGAACTGAACTAGAACTGAACTAGAACTGAACTTGAACTGAACTAGAACTGAACTAGAACTGAACTAGAACTGAACTAGAACTGAACTAGAACTGAACTAGAACTGAACTAGAACTGAACTAGAACTGAACTAGAACTGAACTAGAACTGAACTAGAACTGAACTAGAACTGAACTAGAACTGAACTAGAACTGAACTAGAACTGAACTAGAACTGAACTAGAACTGAACTAGAACTGAACTAGAACTGAATCACTGAACTAGAACTGAACTAGAACTGAACTAGAACTGAACTAGAACTGAACTAGAACTGAACTAGAACTGAACTAGAACTGAACTAGAACTGAACTAGAACTGAACTAGACTGAACTAGAACTGAACTAGAACTGAACTAGAACTGAACTAGAATTGAACTAGAACTGAACTAGAACTGAACTAGAACTGAACTAGAACTGAACTAGAACTGAACTAGAACTGAACTAGAACTGAACTAGAACTGAACTAGAACTGAACTAGAACTGAACTAGAACTGAACTAGAACTGAACTGTACGCCTTCAATCTTTAAGATTAATTCTTTAAACTAATTAATTTATTTTAACGAAATTCAATATCTCATGCCCTTATTATTCATATCTAAATACCACGCTTTAATATTCATTTAAAAATGTATTTATTTTTCTCCCTATAAACCACCATCTAAACATTAAATTTTTCCCATTACTGACTCTTTACCACCCAGGTCGTTTTCAAATCAATTTTTCTTACATTTTATTTAATAAATTTAATATAAACTCATTTTGTTACACTTCGAAATCTATGCTGGGCTTTAGGATCGGTGATTGTGTGGTTGCTGTGTGCGTGATAGTTTAGTAACCTTTCTAAAACAGCCATCTAAAACTAAACACTTGTACGAGTAACCTTTTTCCCATTTATATTTATTTTTTTGCTTTTTGCCTCTCAATCTTCTTATCTTTCCACACTGAAAAACTCGTACAAGAACTCTTTACTATATAAGTAACAATAATGGAAGCAACAACAACAGCATAAATAACAATAACAAATTAAGACGATTGAAAAAAAATATAATATTTAGTTTATACGTGGTTACAGCAAAAATGAAAAGAAATCATACTTAAGACATACAAAACAGTTATGAACGTTACGCCCAACTGATCACAAAGCTTATTTCATTCATTTAAACACCCTCCTGGATAGGATATCAAATAAGGTGGTATATTGTGTTGAACAAAATATGGGACATCAAATTTTTTTAAATTGTTTAAACTTTACCAAAGCTTTTAAGCGTTTCTAAAGCTTTTCATCTAGTACAGTTCTTGTTCAGTTCTCGTTCAGTTCCAGTGCAGTTCTACTTCACTTCTAGATCAGTTCTAGTTCTGTTCTAGTTCTGTTCTAGTTCTGTTCTAGTTCTGTTCTAGTTCTGTTCTAGTTCTGTTCTAGTTCTGTTCTAGTTCTGTTCTAGTTCTGTTCTAGTTCTGTTCTAGTTCTGTTCTAGTTCTGTTCTAGTTCTGTTCTAGTTCTGTTCTAGTTCTGTTCTAGTTCTGTTCTAGTTCTGTTCTAGTTCTGTTCTAGTTCTGTTCTAGTTCTGTTCTAGTTCTGTTCTAGTTCTGTTCTAGTTCTGTTCTAGTTCTGTTCTAGTTCTTTCGTTATGTTCTAGTTCTGTTTAGTTCTGTTTAGTTCTGTTCGTTCTGTTCTAGTTCTGTTCTAGTTCTGTTCTAGTTCTGTTCTAGTTCTGTTCTAGTTCTGTTCTAGTTCTGTTCTAGTTCTGTTCTAGTTCTGTTCTAGTTCTGTTCTAGTTCTGTTTCGTTCTGTTCTAGTTCTGATCTAGTTCTGTTCTAGTTCTGTTCTTGTTCTGTTCTAGTTCTGTTCTAGTTCTGTTCTAGTTCTGTTCTAGTTCTGTTCTAGTTCTGTTCTAGTTCTGTTCTAGTTCTGTTCTAGTTCTGTTCTAGTTCTGTTCTAGTTCTGTTCTAGTTCTGTTCTAGTTCTGTTCTAGTTCTGTTCTAGTTCTTCTAGTTCTGTTCTAGTTCTGTTCTAGTTCTAGTTCTGTTCTAGTTCTGTTCTAGTTCTGTTCTAGTTCTGTTCTAGTTCTGTTCTAGTTCTGTTCTAGTTCTGTTCTA